CCAGCAAATCCCGCCAACAGACACCGCCGAAACGGGCAAGTGGCAACTCTCCCAACTTGGGCCCACATATGCCGCAAGCGTCCCTCTACCTCAGGGGTGGGGATTGGCCCCACCGAAAAACAAAGCAGGACTCAAGCGGACGTCGAGCCCAAAGGCCCCTTTGATCAATAAAATGATAAGGGAGCAGGAAGTTCAAAAATGATGTAACTTGGGGTCCGGTGTTGGGAGTTGGGGCTAAAGGGGCCTAAAAGGGCAGTAGGGGATCTGATGATTCACAATTCACAACTATGGTCTCATGTGGCAAATCGAATGTCAGGTCCGCTCTCCTGTGACACCTGTGACTCATGCTTCCTTTCTGGCAACGTTCGATCGCCTCGCCCCCATCGAGAAGTCCGTGAAGCAAGTCCAACGCGTCCTGCGATGACATTGTGCTGAAAAGTATGCCACTCATTCAGCACTGTCATTGCCAAGCATCACACCTAGCCTAGCCTAGGCCTAGCCTGGCATGGAATTATCTGTCATCAAAGAGCAGCCTGAGTGGCACTACTATCATATTATCAAGCTCATGCAGGACTCATGCAACACTGCCCACTGGCACTGCGTAATCAACAATCCCCTGGCATCTGGGGGGGCTGGTGTTTGGCTTCTGTGTCTGCGCGTCTCCAGATGATGGGTTCATCGAGCTGCGCTAACAACCCTGGCCCTACTATCATACTGCCAACCTCAACACTGAACACTGTCACACTGTCTCCGCATCCTCATCCTCATCAGACGTCGGCTCGGCTCCATCTCCACGTCCACATGATCCAGATGGGTCCTGCGCTGGACAAGGACAAATTTATAACGAGAATCATTTAGAGGTGATTCAAAGATGCAGTTGGAAATATTAATGCAATGACTCACTCGCCAACGGCCCAAGTTACCTGAGCAGCCTCGAGCATTCAGCGCAGCACGCGACTGTTTCACTGATCACTGCTCACTGCTTTCATCACTGCCTTTGCAGCAGCTAGTCACAGAAGTCAGAACGAAGTCAAGACCGCTGCTAGCCAAGCGGAAAGGTCTTTTTGGAAATGTATATATAGGGCAAAACACTCCAGGACTCCAGGGACAACAGGGCAACAAGCATTGGGATCCTTGGGATAATGCCTTCTTCGAGGATCTCAGATCTGCACACAAAACTCTCATAAGACCTTGGGAGCATAAAGAGTCTAGAGCTTAGCTAGACACTATAGAGCTCTGTCCGCTTGCGCTGACACACGGCACAGTGAGCCAGTGCGCCCGAGGTTGCTGGAAACCAGGTTTATCAGCACGTCTTGCGCCTTGCATTAATATTGGGCTGTGTTGAATTGCAAGGAGAACTTCTGGAATTCTTGAAGATTGCGACTATTGCTATATGGCATTTAGTATACAATGATGTAACGCACACAGTAGACTTAGTAAACTGCCTGCGTACAACAAAGATACAAGGGACCTCCTGAGGGTACTTATAACCTTCTAAAAATTCACTTTATAAGTAGGGCCAGTAGGGAGCCCCTTATTGTATGAGCATATGGCCAGGCCGGGCCTCAGAATTCTAGTTGCAGTGGGTGCAATGACGCAATGCACGGAGCAATGACTCCAATGTTCGCGGTGATTAAAGATCTTCAAAATTTTCGAATCCAATCCTTATGAACTGGAAATCTCCATTCATGATCGGAGCCATAAGTTCAGAGAAACATTCATCGCATTTCAGGCTTCGCTGTCACTTGCCGTGCTCGAGGCCGAAGCGGTCACCTGGTCTTGGTCTTCAGTACCACGCTGACCACTCTTCCGACTCTTCCCAACAGCCTTGCGGCTCTGCCTGAGGCTCACGAGGAGGGTCTCGGCCAAATCTTGTCCTTTGCCCGTCTCCACCGCGGTGTTTGCTTCTGACATGACCGCAGCAGGAAGCTCGGAGTCAGTAACCGGGCTCGTGAAGGCCAAGACAAATGCCATCCACCCAGTCATGCACGCTTGATTGAACGAGTTGCCCGCCAGGCGCTTCTTGGCACTCGGCGAGATCTTCTGGAAGGACATGGGCGGCGTCCTGATAACACGCAGCCGCGGCACAGTCTGAAGCAGCTTGCTACCTGAGTGACTCGACGTTACAAGAAACCTCACGCCTCAACGCTATCCTCCATCAAGGGGATGCCCTGCATTTCCAATATCTCCTTCGAATCAAGGGCAAATGTTGTTGTCGGGGCCCGGTTTGCGCTAAGGGCCACTAAAGGGCAATATGGGCAATCAAGGCAGTGCGTTAATTTCGGGAACAGGGTCCAGTTGCGGTTTTAAAACTTTTTGACTCAGATTCCTCTGAACTAAAGGGCCTCCCCTTCACAATACCCCAAAGGTGGCTCAACGATGCCAAAATCACTGGACAATGAGTTCCGAGGTGGCCAGCTGCAGAGTGCTGCACACTTTGGTCCAGGTTGATGGCCACCTCGTTGAATGGAACGAGCCGTCGAACCTCTGGAAGTTGCAGGGCTTGTTCCAGGTTGACGGCCGCCGCGATCGGCAACAAAGACTTCTCGTGCCGGGACTTTCGAGCCTGTGTTGTTGCGTGGAAGCTTTCGCAATGGGAACATGCAATAATGAGTTATGAAGATTGGTCAGGTCTGATTGGACAGGCCAGTTGCCAGTTATCACAAGCAACCATGATTCAACAATGTCTGAGTCCACGGCACTTCGATGAATTAGGAGAGTCTGCATGGTTGAGGTGAGGGTTAGCCGTTTAGCCAATTAAACATCAACAAAAGCTTGCATGGGAAGAGGCAGCGAGCAGGGATAACTAGGCAATGGAGCTCATGCAAACATGGCCGCCATGCTGCAATCTTGGCCGAAAGACATTGCTGGCCAAGTGCGCCCGCATCTCCTCAACCTGCAGTCAAGCCATGGCTTTAAACTCCTTTACCATAGCAGTTAAGGTTAGGGCGGTTAGGGTTTGGGTTGTTGAGCTTAGGTAACGGCTAGCGTAAGGGTAGGGTTAAGGATAGGTTTAGGGTTACGTTAAGACTACGGTTAATATGAGGGTTAGGGAGTTAGGGTTAACGGCCCAATTCAAGGTGAGGTAAGGGTTAGAGTTCGGGCTTAGGTTATGAATGGGCAGGGCCAACGTTTGAGATGAATTTAATGAATCCGGATCCGGATCATTGCTGCTGCTACGTTCTTGTACACTGGTAACATGGCAGGCCTGCTCTTCGGGGGATGCAAAGAAGACGCCAGCATCAACACCTGGAGGGCCAGCGGCTTTCGTGGAAACTACCACAGACTCAGATCTTCGATGGTTACTAAGCCCCAAACAAAATGACAAAAGGTCGTTTGACTTTGCCTTTGAACCAAGCCCACCTGGTGTGATGTAAAGCCTGTGAATGTTTTTCACATCCTGGTGCATGTTATAGGTCTGCTTCACGAGAGCGGTGTAGGAGCGGGAACGTCTCACTGGCATGCCATAGTCCGCGGGTGTGGTTAGAATGTGATGGCATTCGTACCCCGGGAACAGCAGCACAAAAACTTTATGATCGAAAGTACGCGTACACTCGTGGAAAAACACCACGGGTCTCAGCTTACGCATCATGCCCACCATGATGGCAAAAGGGATAACGCTGGGCCCCATAAACCCTTTCTGAGTTCCCATGCTGCTCCTGCGCAAAGTTTAAGCTGTCAGGGCTCTAGGGTTAGGGTTTGAACTTTGAGGTTCAAACTTTGGGTTTTAAGGTTTTAGGATTTAGAGTTTGGGGTTGCGAGTTTAGGCTTAGGGTTTAGGGTTTAGGGTGGAGGTTTTGAGGAGACATAAGGGGTTGCCCAAACTCTGGTCCAGTCGGTGCAGGTAGATCCTGCAACCAATACGAGGAACTCCTGCTTCGACAAGCCATTCAAGCTTACCTTGCTTGTTCATTCCGCTCTTAAAACTTACAGCGCAAGGAAATTCACATGTTTGACCAATCATAGTGTCATTGTATCATCACGAGGCCCCACTCGACAGCTTAGCGCTGAATTACCGTTCTTTGTTTCCTCAAAGGACAAGACGCAACGGGTCCATCTTTCGTTAGCGCGGCGTCCTTCAGGGCTCCGTGCTTTTCCAGGTGGTGCACCAGGCTCACGACAAGAAGCTGGGACAGCTGGTTCATGCACTGTTTCAGGTCCTGTTGTTGGGCCGAATGATTAGGGACCGACCTCTATTCTCCATGCCGTTTTCGCATACCCCCAGCCCAGCCAGCCAATTCAACAAACATTGGCCGGGACTCAAAGTGAAGCTAAACGATGATGCACGTGTTTCTGCTCAAGATTCAAGGATGATGCGTATGAAGAGTTGAAGCTTCTCTTGAATTGGCCTCGCGAGTTGCATCTGTGGCAATATCTAGACGCTGCATCTCTCCTTTTCGCAGCTCTCGAGGACAAGATGATGTTCTTATCAACATAGGGCTCGCTTCTTGAATTCTCGAACTGTGAAAACAAGTCAATGTTACCCTGCCCAACAATTTCAGGAGGTGCATTGTGTTGTAGTAAACAAACCAAAAAACTCGTTTCAATCATTCGTGCTACCTCGTGACAATACGTCTGCACCACTGCTGACTCGTGTTACCTCGTTATGCTCATTATCGCCTCATCATCACCATCATCATCATCGTCATCATCGTCATCACCGCCCCATCCTCACCACCCCCATTTCAAAAGATAACAAAAGCAGGAGCACCCGCATTCAGAACGTCGAGTGCGTCTGTGTGTGTTGGCAAAGCGAGTCCTTCTTCGCCTTGGCCGTCTTGCATTTTACCAGCTCCCTCTGCAATTGCACACACTCCACCTTGAACTCAGCCACAATGTTCTGGAGGGCCGAAATGTGCTGGGATGCGACGAAATTGAACATGTTGTCCACAAGCGCGTGTGGGGGAACCTGGGATGCCAGGGTTCCGATACTGAAGGGGCCGCGGCCTTGTAAAAAAAAAGACATGGGACAGCTTAAATGTTGCGAAGTCCGCAATCCGCAATATTGTTCAAAACTCCAGTTGAGATCAAACGCAAATGGGTTTGGCCCTGTTTGGTGAACACTGGGCTTGCTCACATCCAAGACACATGGTGTGTTCGCAGCACCTTGTGACAATCGCTGTTCATCTCACACGCCAGCAAACACTCAGGGTCGCGTAGTGGCAGGCACGGCAACTCGTTCTCACGCACGAAATTGTTCAGCGCCGTCTTGAGAAGGAGGGCACTGAGTTCAGCACCGCCGAGCCCGCTGTACATGGTCACCAGTTTCATTTTCGATAAGTTTTGGCTCAGCTGCCGAATCGGATCAGCACCAAAGTGGTGGTGCAAACGATCCACGTGTCGCTTCGGAAAAGAGAAAAGGTCAGCTCGATTGTTGGTCCTGCCAAGTTCAGTGATACACTGACAACGCAATAGGCATAGCTCAAAGGCCAGAGCGCATCAACTCAAGCTGTACAGCTGTCCACAAGGCCACATGGCTAGCCTAGGCAACCTATTCGAGGCAGCTCATGCAAACACAATGTTTTGGGATTGGAGTGCAACTTATAGGCTTATAGGATGCATAGTTTTCAACCCTCAGCTGGATCGCTAGGCCTCCTCGATCACCCCATGGGCAAGTACAGCTGCAAGCACAAAACAAGAAACTTTCAAGCCCAAATGGTATCACAAAAGCACAGCAGCAGAGAAGTCATTGTTTGCAGATGACGCTGCGTGCTAATAACACCCGTCGACTCCTTCAACATGCCTTGGAACCACCTATAACCTTTGAGCCTCAAACCTGAAGCCCCTAGAACGCGTCCTTGGCGGCCGCAATGTTGAAGCCTCCTTTCCTGAAGCCTCTGCCAAGCTCTCCACGACCCTATCGGCTTCGTCAGCTAGCGGCTCCCATCCGAAGTGCGTCCGCACGGAGCTCGAACTGGTACTGGATTTCGCGTCATCCTCGGAGGCTGCAGCTTGGGAAGCCTCGCCAGGACGAGAACCTTGCCTCACTTGTTTGGAAGACCTATTTGTATACTACATTGCCACAATTCCCCTTACAGTGCCACACAGGTCATGGGTCATCATGGCTCAAACCTTTTGCAGGAATTCTAAAGATCAAAAGACATATGGGTGGTTGTCAAAATTATGGTCCCTTTTCGACTACCCTAAATACTAGGGGCCGTATTACAATAGAGATCCAAAAAGGGACCACAATTTTGACAACCGCCCATATGACCGAAAGAAACATTAGGAACAAGCAAGCTGCGCAGCGCACGCGTGCGATGTAGAAGGAAACAAAGTGCTCAGAGGCTGGTCTGACTCCGCGTCACTGTGCTCCTCCTCCTTCACTGCAGCCTTTGGCTCAGCCTTCACTTTATTCTCTGTCTTCAAAGAAAGCCGCGCTGCGACTGTGTTCGCAGTCGAACTTTCGGAAGGTGGAGAAGATCTGGCTCCGGGAGCACACACTTCCGCGAGCTTCCGTTGCCTATCGGTGGGGGCTGCTCCCAAGGATTAGGGCTTGGGCTCTTGCGACGGGGAGCCCGCGTCTCGGCCTTCTCCCCGCCACGATTGTTTCGGCAAGACTTCGAGCGGCGAGACTTCGGGGGCGGCTCCAAGGATTCCCTACCATCACCAGGCAGCCTGCTACCAGCAGTGCTATCCGGATGTCTGCACTTTCTCTTCGGACGCTTTTGACAAGGGGGCAGTCCTTGCACGGCCACAGCCTCGGCCTCGGCCACGGCCTCGGCCCCCCTGCCGGCCCCGAGACTCACTGCACTCAGGACGGTCCTCCGGCTCCGGTTCATGGCAAGATGGAACTTCCATGTCAACGGCGCTCAGGCTGTCATTTGCGCCCGACATGACAAGTTGTGACCAACTAGTTGGTGACCATAGGCGCAGCAACTACACTGGCCAAACTTGAAGCTTTTGATTAGTCAAAATCACCCATTGAAGTTGGAGGCCCTCATGCATTTCGTGGCGCACGCGGATCATTGGCATGTGAACCTGACAAATTGTAAAACCGAGCCACACTTGCAGGGCAGGGCAGGGACTGCGTGGCATGCACGCTACACCGGAATAGGAACATGTCTGATTCTGCATCCGCACTGCATCCAGCCACCATGATGGGACGGGTCGCTTATAGCATGTGAACATGTAAGATTGTAAAAATGATACCTGACTGTCTACTCATTCCAGTCCTCTGGCATCTTCTGCGGGTGCTGCTCTGGCTCCGACGACTTCGGTGCAACTGCGTCTCCATGTCCAGGTCCATCNNGGCTTCTGCGTCCGCGTGTCTCCATTTCCATGTCGAGCTGTGTCCTGCGGCGCAGGACAAACTGAACACTGCAATCATCTAAGTTTAGGGTGGGTTCGAGCCGGAGTCGCATGGAGTTGGAAACACAGCATCCGCCATCTATTGGAGTTATCACCCCCAATTGCAAGTCGAAAATGCTCTATACTATATTATATGCTCTCATACTGTCAACTTCAACACTGTCTACTTGACCGTCAAATCGCTGCAGTCCTTTGAAATTGGCATCTGCGGTGACTTCGGTGCCTCTGCGTCTCCATGTCCATCCTGCGCAGAACAGACCGAAAATGACAATCAGCTGGAGGCGATTAGAGGCGACTTAGAGTTCCAAAGACAGCGTCCGCCGTTCATTCATCTTTTCCATGACTCCATGAGTCTAACTCCATCACTAACTCTAACCTTTACGTCTCACAAGCATCATGATGTCACCTGCTCGTGTGGCTTCTGCGTCGGCGTGTCTCCATCTCCATGTCGAGCTGTGTCCTGCGGCGCAGGACGGCGCAGGACAAACTGAACACTGCAATCATCTAAGTTTAGGGTGGGTTCGAGCCGGAGTCGCATGGAGTTGGAAACACAGCATCCGCCATCTATTGGAGTTATCACCCCCAATTGCAAGTCGAAAATGCTCTATACTCTATTATATACTCTCATACTGTCAACTTCAACACTGTCTACTTGACCGTCTAATCGCTGCAGTCCTTTGAAATTGGCATTTGCGGTGACTTCGGTGCCTCTGCGTCTCCATGTCCAGGTCCATCCTGCGCAGAACAGACCGAAAATGACAATCAGCTGGAGGCGATTAGAGGCGACTGAGAGTTCCAAAGACAGCGTCCGCCATTCATTCATCTTTTCCATGACTCCATGAGTCTAACTCCATCACTAACTCTAACCTTTACGTCTCACAAGCATCATGATGTCACCTGCTGGTCTGGCTTCTGCGTCAGCGTGTCTCCATCTCCATGTCGAGCTGTGTCCTGCGGCGCAGGACGGCGCAGGACAAACTGAACACTGCAATCATCTAAGTTAAGGGTGGGTTCGAGCCGGAGTCGGATGGAGTCGGAAACACAGCATCCGCCGTCTGGCCGCCATCTATTGGAGTTATCGCCCCCAATTACAAGTCTTGTCCAATATGCCCTGCTCTCATACTGTCAACTTCAACACTGTGTGAACCACACGGCAAGCAGCAGAACAAACGGACTCCAAAATACAGTCATCAATCGGTTGGCGGTTGGAGTCAAGTTGGAGTCCAACGGTTGGAGCTTTCGGCAACAGTAATTAGGTTCGATGCTTCACTAAGTCACTAAGCATCCGGCCTAAGCATAGACCAAAACACAAACACGCAGAACACAAAGCCATATATCCTCTGGCACATGCGGTGGCACCTCCACATACACAAAAACACCAAAATGCTCGCAGGCAGCGTCCTGTATCGGAACGCCCTGGCCATCAGCAGCCGCTGCGCTCTTTTCTTGTTTCACACTCACTGGCGAGAAGACACCCGCTCCATCGTCAGGCGCAGCGTGCTCCTCCTCGTCTTCATCATTTTCATCTTCGTCGTCTTCACCCTCAAGCTGTGCGAGCAAGAGTTCCTGCAGCGATGCTGAAGATTCCGGCATCGGCACTTGGTCTAGAGAAGGCAGCATTGTCTTCAAAAGCTTCGCGCCAGCGCTGCCGTTCACCTACGACTTCAAGGAAAACGTGTGTTTCTAGGGGTAGCGTCGGTAGCGTATTACTAATCTAGAAAACATACTAGGGACAGTGACAGTGATTGGGCGGAATACAGGATTGCTGGCAATAGGAACTACGTATTGAAAGCTGTGGGGGACTTCCTGCCTGAGACGATTACATGTCCATATCGTGTCAGATAGCTGGAACTTTGAACAATGATTTATCGACAGCCGTTTCAGACCCACATTTTGGGACTAATGCCCAGGATTCACTATAACTAATAATGTCTAGCGCATATTAACGTGTCAGACTCTCAGAAACTGCGGCACTGCGGTCTAGGAGACGGCTACAGACTAGTCTTGCCTGCTCCAGAGCTGTCTGGAAAGCATGGAAGGTCTCCGGACAGAAGGTCAGGGCATTCATCCTCCGACAGCTTTGAGGTGAGGATTCCAGATTTCCAGGGGTCGGGTAACAGCATCAACACTTGGAAACTTGCAGGTGTGTGCTCGTCAACAAGACTGAACATAAGCCTATTGCCAATTAATCGGGCCTCCACTTTGCATCTGGGCCTCTGCCGTGGCCTCTGGAATAAACCTTTACACTGTACAGATTGAACACTCTCGGTTATTCTAGCAAGTAGAGGGCAGAGCCGTGCGTTGCAATTCGTGTGAGAAGTAGCCTTGACATGTGAGGGTCATGTCAGGTAAGTGCTTAGGGCTCCAAGGGTGTAAAGGCCAAACAAGAAACTCACTGCTTGCGTAACTCGAACGCCTCAACACTCAAAGCCTCGACCTCAAACCAACACCGGCAAGCCTACTTTCAAGCCCTAAACCCTGCACCTTCCAAACCC